CAGCTGCTCCTCTGGAGAAAGATAAGGCTGTCTCCTCCCATAAAGATTCAAAGCTTCAGAAATCCCTTGCTTGAGGTCGCTGAGTCAGAACTGACCCCTGACAGTTAGTGGTGCGGAGTCCTGGAGGGAGGGAGAGGGCATGGGGACACAGGGCTGCTTGTGCACTAGCGGTTATTAGTACATTTTGCAGAGTTCCTAAAGTGGAGACTATCAAAATAATGATGGTGGTAACTCAATAACAAAACGATGCTTGTAAACCACTTACGTGCACAATTCCACAACATTCATCGTTGTCATCGTGCTCTGCCACCCTCACCACCATCTGGTTCCAAAGCCCTTTCATCACCGCAACGGGAACGCTGTACTCGTTCCGTAGTAAATCCCCACTGCCACCCGCTATTATTCACAATCTCTCCCCTCTCCTTGTCCTGTAGTGTGGACACTAGTGAACCCTGCCAAGCCCGTTCCTGTCCAGGTAATTCTGGCTCCCAGTGCCAAAAGGACAGTGCACAGCTGCCCCACAGCGTGTCCAAGAGACTATCCACACCTTTCTCCAGAGAACCGGCTGGTGGTTTTGAACCACTGATCTTTCAGTTAGCAGCTTCAAGCTGAACTGATAAATCTCCAGGACTCCTGTAGCGCATAGAAGAGGCCAGTCTCCCCCCCACCCCCCACCCCCGCACCACCACAACTACTATCTAAAAGTCTTACTATTTTCCCAAACGGAATATCTTCTTTGAGTTTATTGAATTGGCACACACACACCCAATGCCAAAGGGTGAGAAGCCAATTGTACGGGGCCCACTGCATTTCCATTTCTGTGTTGTACGCGGTCTCCCAGGGAACCAGTTGAACATATGTTCTCTAGAGAAGAAACTCGGTCTCACTGGGCATCCCCAATGCCTCAAATTGGGCCTGGGACCTGGCGTCACCCTGATGAGGCTCAGGGAATCTACTGATCTCTACTGTTGGGAACTGCCCTTGGGGGGATAGTTTTTTTTTATGTAGTTTTATTAGCATATAATTCACATTTCCTACAAGTTAATTGTTTGATCATATTAAAAGAGTTGCGCAATCATCAACACAATCAATTTCAGAACATTTTCTTCTCATACTTGTCGCCTTCCCATTTGCCCCCAACCTCCCTTGCCATGCCCCTGGGTAATTATTAATCCAGTTATAATCTCTAGATTGACCTATCCTGGATTTCATATACAGAAAACTGTACAAAGTAAAAACACAATGACAAAACAAAACAGAGAAACCTCAATCTCAAAGGAAGCAGACAATATTAAAAACCGAAATAACTTTAAAATCAGTCAAAAGGGAGATTAAGTGATAAGGTGTTGCATTTTAACCCAACTTCGTCTGCTATGACGTAGTGGGTACGTGTTGGACTGGGATCCGAAAGTTCAGCCATCTGAAACCTCCAGCCGCTTCTCGGGAGGAAGAGGAGGCTTTCTAGTCCCATAAACACTTACAGTCTCTGAAACTCCCAAGAGCAGTTCTGCCTGGCCCAGAGGGTCACTATGAGATGGCATTGATTTGAAGGCAGTGAGTTTGAATTCTATTTGGACAATTGCCATAATCAACTTTACAAAGCTCTCCATCTGATACCAGGACTATTCACATCCCTCCACTGTGGTCAGAGGGGGTTTACCAGCAGCTTAATCCAGGTGTGCACTGTGTTCACTAGTTAAGCTCTGATACCATTTCCTCCTCTGTATCTGGAGTTTACTATTTACAGTTTGGGGATCACATGAGATGGTGTGCTTCTTCCATGTGGACTTAGTTGATTCCTCGTTACTTCTCACATTCCAGAATGTCCTTGGTGTACTTTCTGTGGGCTTTACTGATTGATCCCATTCCAGTTTCTTTTAACTCATATTATCTTCAACCATGCCAAGAAAGCTGTAGTTTCTTCAGAGTGGTGGTTTGAGGTGTCTCTGAGCCTCTGAGCCTGGATCTACAGCACCTGTGAGACTGCACTCTCTGATTCTCCAAATGTACCCAACCTCAGCCACTCTGTTTCCAGGCCTGCACAGGTAGTTGCTCCTGTGTATTGGTGTTCACATGCTCTGCTTTACAGTTAAATCCTGAGGGGAGCGACTCTTCCTTTGGAGCCAGGCCTCCTATCCAGCTTCACGGCAACGCAGGTTGGTTTTCTACAAGCTGAACTGAAATATGCTACAGCCTGGTTTTGAGTCCTCCTCACTTTCAGCAAGCAAGGTTGTGCCATCTGCATACAGGTTGTTAATAACAGGTTGTTAATAAGCCTTCATTCACTTGTTGATGAAGATCAAGGATTGTAGCCTTCAGTAGGGATTACAACGCAATATAAGGAAGACTAAACACAGCTGAACCAATAGGAACCATCGTGATAAATGAAGAAAAGGTCAACGTTGTCACGGTTTGTGTCTTGCTTGGATCCACAATCAATACTCATGGAAACAGAAGTAAAGAAATCCAGAGACTATTGCATTAAGTAAACCTGCTACCTAAGACCTCTTTAGGGTATAGAAGAGATGTTACTTTGAGGACTAAGGTGTGCCTGACTCACGCCACAGTATTCTCCATTGCATCAGATGCACCTGAGAGTTGAACATCGAATAAGGAAGACGGTAGAAGAATCAAGGCATTTGAATGGTGGTGCAGAAGAAGAATATTGAAAGTACCATGGACTGCTAAAAGGACCAACCAACCTGTATTGGAAGAAGTAAGGCCAGAGTGCTCCTTAGAGGCAAGACTGGCAAGACTTTGCTGTCTGTACCTTGGATATAGTGTCAGGAGAGACCAGTCCCAGGAGAAGGACGTCATGTTTGGTCAAGTGAGGGGTGGTGAAAAGAGGAAGGCCCTTGACATCCATCTTGGATTGACACAGTGGCTATATACATGGGCTCGGGCCTAGGAACAGTGAGGAGGCTGGTGCAGGATGGGGCTCTGTTTTGCTCTGTTGTGCATGGGGTCACTATGGGACAGAGTCGGCTCCATGGCACCTCACTACAGCAACAGCAGCCTGGTTAGTAGATGTCTGTGACAAAGCTCCTCTCAGGCTTTTTTTAAGGTTGGGGGCGCGGCAGGGTGTATCTGTTAAATTCCCAAATTTTAGAATTAATTCCCTGTTGATATTTCTCACAGGTTTTAAAAACGTAATTTTTTTTAATTCTATGAATTTCGCGTGTTCTCAACCCTACCATGTCTCATCATCCTTTATTTGTTCTTTTCTGCTCTGCCACTAATATCAGTCCCGATGTTGGCAGCTTGACTGCAGCCTGGGTTCTGTGGTCCTTCCCTGCGTTCTGAAGTGGGTGTTACTGTTGGTGTACCTCTAACTGAGGAATATTATTCCACCTTGATAACATCTCAGACTCCCAGTTTAGAACAAAGCAAGAGACTGGTAGTTGTGCCCATTATTTGTGCTAATGTCATGGTCAATTCCAAACCAAACACACTGCCATCGGGTCGGTGCCAGCTCCCAGTGACTCTCTAGAACAGGGTAGAACTGCTCCGTGAGTTTCGGAGACTAATTCTTTATGGGAGTTGATAGCCCCATTTTCCTCACTCTGAGAGGCTGGTGGTTTTGAACTACTGACCTTTTGGATCCCAGCTCAATGCGTAACCACTATGCCACCATGGCTCCTGGTTTCGTGGTAGTATAGTATAAAAAGTTAATGTGGGGTAGAAGGTGGGGTAGAAAAGGGGGACTGATTATAAGGATCTACATATAACCCCCTCCATGGTGGACAGACAACAGAAGAGTGGGTGAAGGGAGACATCAGACAGTGCAAGACATGATGAAAATAATAATAATTTATAAATTATCAAGGGTTCATGGAGGGGAGAGGGGTGGGAGGGAGGGGAAAATGAGGCGCTGATACCAAGGGTTCAAGTAGATAGCAAAAGTTTTGAGAATGTTGATGGTCACAGATGTGAAAATGTGCTTGACACAATGGATGGATGTATGGATTGTGATGAGTTGTACGAACCCCCAATAAAATGATTTTAAGAAAAAGTTAATGTGTTTGTTCCCTTTATGATATGACTTTATAATTATAGTACCTTATTACTTCCCCTTTTCTTACCTTCTCCCAATTTTATTTTACACAATCCCCTCAGCTCCTTGACTAAACTTCCAGTCACGTCTTTTCCCAAGATCTCCTTCATTTAAATAAGGTATCTCACCTGTCACCTCACTCTGGCTTTTCAGGGTAGATTGCATTCACCTTCCTCTGGGAAGCTTACACCTCCTTCGTGCAGATTTCATTCTGCTCTGTGTCCTGGTTCTCCTGCTCCGGATTCAGGATCGCAGTGACGGCTCAATCAAACAAAACTCCATTCTCGTTCGCTGCCATCGCATCCATGCTGCCTCAGGGTGAGCCCCCGGGGGTTTCGGAGACCTTGACTGTTTACCAGAGTGGAAAGCCCAGTCCTTCTCCCGAAGAGCTGCTGGTGCTTTTGAAGCGCCGACCCTGAGGATCACAGCCCAGTGAGAAACCACTCCACCACCAGCACTGCCCACAGAAACAGCAGCCCCGAAAGGCAGACGGGACATTCTCAGATCGTATCAATGCCTACCTGGGCTTCACAGGAAGTCAGTGCCTTGACTGTTTACGGCAGGACCCCAAACCAATCTGACTGATCCTCTGTTCCTCTCACCCTCACAGCCAACTCCCTCCAGCCCCCCTTTCAGTGGGAGGGAACCTGGACGTCTAGCTTTTTCCAGGGTCCGCTCTCAAGGTGAGCCAGCGCTGGCCCAAGGGAGCAACGGGAGGAGCAAAGCAGACAGACAAACGACACCAGGGTGGTAATGAGGAGAAGTTTTATTTTTCTCGGGGTTGACACAGGCCTTGAGGGCAGTCACGGGTGCAGGGGGAGGAGGAAACGGAGATCCTGGACATCAGTCTAGATGAGCCTTCTGGGATAGTTTAGACTATGCCCAAGGATTTCTGTGGAACCTTGGGACTTTGTTTCCTGTGCCCATTTTGCCTGCACTGCCCAGGTCAGCAGCTACCCCCAGAGCAGGGGCCACAGCCGGAGCCCCCGGCCTGCACACCGCTGCTGCCATCATCACTGCAGTTGGAGCTCTGGCGCCTGCACCTGTGGGACCTGCGGCGCCGGTGGGGGCTCAGGCAGCAGCTTGGCTCAGAGCGAGGCCCATGACAGCCCCCGGAGGTCAAAGCACAGCCAGAGACGGCTGGGGGCGAGCACTGTGCAGGGCTCTTTGGGGGACACTTGGGGGTGCACTTGGGCGGGGCTGGGGGCTGGCACTGCTGCTGGTTCTGCTGGCAGGACATCTCGGCAGGAGTTTCACCCTGGAAAAGGGAAGAGAGACATGAGCTTGGAGCCTTCAGGCCCGTGGGTTGAGTCAAATCCTTGCCCCCAGGATCAAGCCGCTCCAAGCCGACCTCTGTGGGCCAGAAGTGGGCACGTGGAAGGGACACCTGCGTGTGGAGGCAGCTCTTCCTCAAGGATGTCAGGAGGGCACCTGGGTAACCCTGGCAACATGCTCACCCCAAAACAGGAAGAGCCCTGAGACCTGTGGCTTTGTAACTAGACTCCTGAGCTCCTGCTTCCTCCCCATCACCTGCCCCACCGCCGCCCCCTAGGGGCCTCCTACTGCTGTTTCCAGTTCCTGCCTGGCCCGGTCTTCCCCAAACACCACCAGCTGAGGGGCTGGCCCTTCCAGACACTCACCAAAGGCAGAGGAGGCAGGAGAAGGCTGTTCCTGGGGAGGCTGTGGATGAGGCGCTCAGGGCAGGAGCCCTTTTATCCTGTGCTGGGTCCTGATGCACAGCCTGGGAATGCTGCTGCTTTCCCAACCAGGGGAAGGGTGATGACGTCACACACTTCCCAGGTACCTGCCTCTGGTATCCTCTTAGGCATGTACCTAAATAAAGTGAAGCCAGGATAGCCTTGGGCCAGCAAGCAACCCCCAATTCAGGGCTGCTCCTGACCTGCTGCCCCCCTTTATCCAGCTGTCACTCAGCTGCCACGCCCTCACGCGAGCTGTGCCTCTTGGATGTTGTTCCACAGCAGTAACACAGAGATGAATGTGACATTCCTGTCCCCTGCAGGGGCTCAGAGCTCCCCTGGACCGTCATTTATGTGAATAGATATGCAAGCGTTTGATCTGATGAGCTAAGTGGCATCACCAAAATATTTGGAAGGCCTCAAGCCTAAGACTCCAGAGTAGACCGCCGTTGATCACCCTGCGCGTCTCCAAAGAATGATGGGCCCCCAGATGCTCTCTGAAGATGACGGCTGGACAAGGTCCCTGGTTTGTCCAAATCGGGATACCGAATAAGAGACGGAGATTTTGAGCCAGCTCTTCAGCAGGACAGAGAGACCCCTAAGGCCTGAAGCATGCGGACCAAGAGCAAATTCGCATGAAGAAGGGATTTGTAATGCTAACGGTCATGAGACTGATCATTATTATGATACTTTTAAGTAATAAGATGTATTCCCCTCCACCTGCCTGCAGGATATGTGCTATGGCTTCTATGCCTGCAGAAGGTAATACTAGAAGGAACTGCTGCGTGTCCTTCAAAAGTTGGAGGATGAATTATGCAAAGGAGTCATGGTAATTGATTGATTGAAAAGAGGATGAGTAGGCCTCATTTGGTAGTCCTCTAAGGCTGATGCACAGCTAATACGTACATAGGTAGAGCATCCATCCAGTGAACCCATGACCTTCTATACAACAGAACCGAGCGTTGGCCAGTCCTATGCCATTCTCACCATCACCAACACGTTCACGTCAATTGTGCCTCCTGGGCCCATCGATCCCCATGAGAGTCTCCCGCACCTTCACTGGCGTTCTGCTTTACCAAAAGCGATGAGCTCTTCCGGCAGTTGATTGCTGCTGATGGCATGTCCCACACAGCAAGTTGGCTGATGTTTTGTTGTGACCTGTAAGGTTGCCATGGCTCCTTTCTGGAAGTAGGTCACCAGGCCTCTTTTTGAGTTTGTTTTAGAGTCTGAAGTGCCTTTGAAGCCTATTTTCCATGGGGAACCCTGTTGGTGTTTGAAATATCAATGTCGCACCATCCAGCACCCTAGTGACATGCGAGCTACCCCAGAGTGACAAAGTGACAGGTGGTAGAAGCTAATGCCTAGGTAAACTAACATCATGTACATTGCTAGTATTTTTCCATTGGATCTACATGTAATATTACAGATGGACTTCTCAGTGAACTTTATCTTTAATATGACAATAAAATATATTACATTATATGATGATAAGTAAAATAAAAAGGATTGCTACTATAGTAGCTCATTAATAGACAAGTTTATTTCAAACAAGATTTATTTAAACATGTCTCTGATCAGTAGATAGCTGCAGACAAGTTCTCTCAGTAATATACTTATCCTAGTCTCCATAGATGCCTTCCAAAAACAATCTAAAAGGATATTTTTTGAGTTATGGATAAAACGATGCAGAGTTCTGGGCTAATATAAAATAAAATATAAAAAAAACCCTCTAGTGGACATCTTCTCAAATCATTGAAGATTTGCAGCAAATTTACAGGAATGCTGACCAACATCAAACAAGATGGATGAAGCACTTTAAGGAAGTTTGGGAAGGCCTCCAAGATGAACTCAATGCAGACAGGCGAGCTCAGAAGGTTAAAGGAATACAATTTGAATACCCGACAGATGCTAAAAGTGCTGTTTTGATGTGGTATAAATCAAAGAGCACAGAATTATTCAGAGAAGAAAACATCACCTTCAGAAGTGCACAGACCCAGATAAAGGATATGCCGAGAAAGATTTCTATAATAATACAGCAATAGTTTTAGACTGACCTTTGTAGCTACAAAACAATGAACGTATAGGGATTTATATTTGCATATTTAAATGTAATTAAATGAAATCAAAGCATTATTATAACGAATGTTTCTGATTTACTGTACACCTATGAGACTAACTACTTGTTTTTAGTAAATTATGATTGTTTTAAGCTTCTCGTTATGATCAGAGTGAAAATTTACAGAACAAACTAGTTTCCCATTCAATAGTGCATGCACATTCTGTCGTGTGGCATTGACGGCAGTCCCCCGTGTAATAGCACTCTGCCTTCCTGCTCCCAGTTGGCTTTGTTCCTATCCATCCCTGCCTTCGGAGCTTTAAACCTGGCCACATGCTGCCATTTTGAGCATATATTGTTGATAGTTTTAAGGACTGCCTATCTTCCTGGTATTACTGTTTGCCCTATTGTCCTGTGGGATAAGTTTAGTTCCAGGACTAAAGAGTGACCAAGACTAGAGTCTTAACGGTCTCATCAGTCTAACAGACGAGTAAGTCTGAATTTAAAAAGTATTGTATGCTTTGTTCCACATTCTACCTCTTCGCTCACTCAATTAAGGACCCTCAACTGAGATCCTTTTCAGAGGATAGACACCAATTTAAGAAGTACTACAGTTTCTATTTTCTCACTCCAATCTACCGTTGACCGTGAAAATTTCACAATCAGTGACTCCAAGAGCATGAAGGGTCTTGTGCCTCAGAGAACGGGGTACCCGAGGTTGGACGGGGGGAGCCGGGGCAGACTTCCATGTCCTCTTTGTCTTCCAGGGAAGCCGGTTCCTCTCTGGTTATAGTTCAGTTCCAGTCTCCCTGCTTCACCGAGAGAGTGCTTTCCTTACTCAAGTGACATCCCTCCCTGCTCCCCCAAGCTGGATGGTAAGGCTGGAGAAGAGACAGAGGGAAGCACCACTTTGCCAGCAGGGTTGGGCCTTAGAGAATGACACGTAGGGAGAGGCTGATTTTGTTTCCTGTGACTACTGTCATGAGTTACCACAAACCTGGGGCCTGAGAACAACGCATTGATTCTCTTACAGTCCTGGAGGGCAGAGTCCAAAATGGGCTTCCCTGAGCCTCACTGAGGTCCAGAGGCAGGGCCACACTCCTGCTGGAAGCGCTGGAAGGGAAGATGAGTTCTCCCTTTCTTCAGCTCCTAGAACTCTATTCTGGCAGTCTTAGCTCATGCCCCTCCTCCATTCTCAAGTACCACAGCATAGGCTCTGCAGCCCTCCCTGGGCTAGGTTTTCAACCCCCTTTCTCCTCTGTTTCCAAATCACCCCTTGCTGCCCTCTCATGATTGCATTTAGAGTCCACCTGGATCATCCAGGACAATCCTCTCATTGTCATAGTCTTGATTTAAATACATCTGCAAAGACCCCTTTTTCCTACCAGGTCACACAGGTTCTGGTGAGTAGGTCTTGGGTATTTTTTGGGGGGGTGTGTGTGGCATTATTCAGTCAACCACAGATGCTCCCAAGGAAGTCTGAGCACCCTGCTGGTGCTGTCCTGGCCCCTGATCCATAATTCACCTGGAGGGATGGCTCCATGACTTCTCTCCCCTGGCCCAAGACTTGACTGAAGGCCTTCTTCCTACCTGCCAGAGACGAAGGAAGGGAGAAGACAGCCTATTCCCTGAAATTTATTCTCACTTACGTTCTTCATTCCCACAAACCTTCATTGAAGACCACGTTGAGTAGCCATGAGAGTATTATGTGATTTTCTCAGCTTGGGTTGCCGCAGTGAGCAAGAGGCACAAACTAGGGGACTCTAGCAACTTCGCAGTGAAGATAAACACGAGACACATTGACCTTTGGGGTCTGTGATGACTGAGCCCTCAGGTGAGATGTGATGTCATGGGGAGGAGGGCTTGCTTTAGCTGACCTGTGCTCTAAGCTTTCCAGAATAAGTATAGATGCCATTTGTAATCTTGATGATAATTCTAAGCTGCTATGGGGCAACCCTTTGGGTGTAAAATGTATCCATAGTCAGGATGGTTCAGAACATTTCAGAACCTATTAGCAGAAGTGATCCCAACTTCTCTCGAATTGAAAGCAGACTTACAGCTGGCTTCTTCCCCACCTTTCCCTTGTTGATTACATCAAGTAGATACAGACTCAGACAGACCGGATTGGCCTGGTAGAACGGTCCCCGCGGGGTTCCTGTGTCTCTTTACAGCAGTAGACAGACTTGTCTGCCTCTCTTGGAAGAGTTCGTAGCTACGAACTGCTGATCTTCCTGTTAGCAGCCAATGCCACTAGGGCTGCTACGAGCGAGTAAAGATTTGTTTTTAGTTTTTAGCTTTTAGAGATTTTTTTTTGGGCTGGTTTTGTTTTGGATAACAAAATCCAATTGCTATGGTTCCATTTCAGCCCCCAATTTTTCATTTCTCCATTCAATTGTCTTTGTATTTTTGTTGAAAATCAATTGATTTTGTATGTGTGTGTCTGTTTTTGGACTTGATATTCTTTTTCATAGACTTACCCTTGTCTTG